TTTTAATCTTTTCTTTCTGTCCTATTTCATAAATGTTATTTATTCAACCGTTATGCTCTAAACATTATCTCAGTTTTTTGCAGTAAGGTTTTAATCATTAGTTAAGTGACAATTTTCAATGTACTCTATATCATACTTAAAAATTACTATTAAATGAATGATTAGATTTCATACTAATCGATTACATCATGTTTCATTTATTTACCTGATTTAACTAAAACATGTATCAGTAATGAACGAAGTATGTAGAAAGTGAAGAATTTGTGCAGATTGTTAATTTCTAATCTATTTATTGTTTTTATTGGACTAATGTCAAATACACCATTGGATCCTGATTTATTGGTCTAAAAGTTAAGCATTGACACGAAAGATTGACACCTTTTGGCTCGCTCGATTCCAGGTTGTAAGTTTATGGATAGGGAATATTGAGAAATTCCATACTAGGAAGAAATGTATGTCTAGTGCTTTCGGGTTTTCATTGATTGTCTAACATATATAGGACCGTGATCTCAATAAAGAAATGAGAAAGTACTTAGAATCAAGAAGCATTAAATAAATATTTAGTACTAGTAATAACCAATCAAAACATATAGAATTATCAACAATGTTAATAAATAATGATCTCAACATATTATAAATTGAATGAGATTGAAGATTTGAATATTTGGGTGAGAACTTACTGTGAAATAACGCTACGCTTCTCATAGTAGCTAAAGATCTAATATCAAAAAGATGACGTTTTAAATCGTGAATCATATTTAAAAGAGGTATGTTATTTACTTTAGACATACACAAATACACTTTACTACTGATAAATAATTAGTACCAACAAGATCCTAGATTTTCTATTGTTCTTTTAAAATCTACCTTATATATCCTGAATTTTAGTTTATTGTACGAAATACTTTTTTTGTTTTTTATTTTGTTTTATAATTCAATCTAAATTTTTCTTCAAATCGAGATATTATTGCTTAAAACAAGTAGGTTAGATCAATGGGCCTAATTCCAAGGGATCTAGACTAAATGTGTATGTATGCACTTTCGATTATTTGTCAGAAAAAACAAACAAACAAACTATTACACTTCATTAGAAAAATGAATTAATCGAAACCTTTTTTTAGAAATCGAAAAAAATATCTACAGTCTACGAATTATGAATTATTTTACATGGAAAAAAAATCAATTGAAGTAATATACCTTTTTAATTAGTATCTCTAACAAAACCAAAATGATCAGAATGGGGTTGTGCTCACTAGTGACTAACTTCGTGAGGGAATTCTCGGAGTTCTGTTGAGTAAACCGAGACCAGTGGAGTTATTCCCATGTTGGGTAGAGACAGGTATTTACTTCAGTACAATGGAAGATGGTCCCTCAATTTCGTGGATTAGTTGAGGTTCAACATTAACACCGTTGGATGCTAGCCGGCTCAGTGGTCAATTGGGTTAGGCGTTCGCGCGCGGGGCTTGTGGAGGTGCATAGGCCACCCGTTCAGGATTTTTCATCACCATATATTAATACGTAATGGACACTAAAATAAACTTAAGGAGAGGAGCGCATAAGAGTTTATTCATTACAAACGTTTATGTAATTTTGAAATTAAGGAGTTGAACATGAATATTGATTGAAATTTACAGAATCAATCATACATACATCATCAATAAAACTGATGCAAGGATGATTACACAATTAGATTATTAAGATGAGTGGATCATATATAATGAAAGGAATGAATAAAACTTATAAATTCGTGAGAAATGCGATAACTAAGATGAAGAATAAGGTTTTGGCAAACTAATAGGATGTATAGACATTTTTCTGTACCTGAATCTTGGGTCTATCGATGTGCACTTTTATGGCTTCTGCTATATGTAGATGACAATATCTGGAATTGTAATGGAAGTTAGATGCTAAATTTATATCGCTATTGTGACTGATATCTGCTAAATGTGGGAAAACTGATCGTCTTATATTCTCTTATGTCATTCAGTCAGCCTTGAGGGGTAATATTTAAAAACACATTGATGTAGTTGGCTGGTTGTATGCTCAATAGTCTAGGTAAAATCTTTTACTCATCGATTTTAATTGTTGACCTGTGGTATACTTTATAACTTACAATCGATGATGACGACGAATATCAACTCGAACTGACTGGAAGTTAGATACACAATAACAATTTAACGTTTCACTCCCGACCTTGAAAATACCATTAGAATATACCCTGTCTCAGAAGTCAGCTAACCCAATAACTCAATCAGTTAAATTGTGTAAATCAAGTCAAATTATATGGTGTTATCTCAGATTGGACTGGCAGTACTGGACAAACCGATTTTGATGTATGACTTTGAGACCAGAATAATATATAGTTTAATTCAAACGCCAAAGCATTATCTACTGAGTTACTGTGTTCAGATATCTGCTAACGTGTTTAACAGGTATGATGTTCACGTCATTATTACACGCTGGCATTTGAACCAAAAGGTACTGAGATGGAGATGTAATG